TATTTATAGATTTTACGATGCCTCTCGACATTCATATAAGATTTGAAAAGAATAAAATTAAAAGTACATATGGTACATAAAAGCACAAAATATCATGCAACATCCCATAATTGTACCATGCTATCACATGTAGTTGTACGGAATGTTGAGCTTAAGGGCAAATTGAGAATAAAAAGGTGATCAACCTAGCAGCATGTGCGTCCAAGCTGCTAAGGTAACCAAACCTGAATTCATTCATGGGTCTTATCAACAGATTATCGGGTCATATTCATGTTGTGTGTTATTTGGGTATACACACATGTATTTAATTCTTTCAGCACTCCATATGTGTATCTTTCTTCAACATTTTCATTAATTGATCAATAGATTCCTATAAGACACTTTTGACTTGTGGCCCTAAAATTCTAAGAAAAATAAATATCAATTATGTTATTAGTAAAGTCATTAAATTTAATTATCATGCCTTCATACAAAAAACAAATATGAGCTTTTGAAATAAATCCACTATGCATGGCCTAATGAAGATATATGCTATTTAATCTCAAAACTCACCACGAGTTCCGCATCTTTCTTCCTTTGACATGCTCCCAAATAACATGATATTTGAGATAGATCTACTAGCTATTTTTATGATGAATTTGGTTCTTCCTCAAAGGATTAATTTACCACTAATAGCAACCCTTGTAGCTCTAGTTAAAAGAAATGCATCTCTTTGAGCAACTCTAGCTAAATTGCATGAAATATATACAACAAGGCAACAAACTATTCGAGTAGTGAGAGAAAAATAGGGTATTGCTGGATAGTTATGTGAACATCATATCATCCAAAAATGTAGCATGCAAGTAATGTTCCTTCAATTATTCAAAAGCCCTCCCCTCACTCTACCAAAAAAGAACCATGAAGTAAAAAGTTACTAAACATGCATATAACAGTCCATTTGAAATGTTATCTAAAATATGACACAAATTTCTCTAAACTGCTTTCTAATCAATGGCTTTTGGCTCATGCACAAATTGATTAATTATTAGTTTAACTTAATGTATGATAAATATCTTGAGTATCTAATTAAGCTTTTATAGAAAGTAGGACCTACCAACTCAACTTCGCATGTTTTATTAGCTTCAATCCATTCTAAATGTGGTGTATACTATAATGCAATCTTCAATCTCATGCATTTAGAGTTCTTTTGCATAAATCTCTGCACGTGATGTGAGATTTTTGTTTTTTTAGTCACAAATCAAATAAATCATTGGCCAATTTTATAACATCTAAAACTCTGAAGCCATACTTTAGATGATTCAACAAAATAGTAACACATTCTTTCATTTAAATAATAGGACCTTCTAAAGTGTCCTGATGTTGGGATAAGATGCTTCTTTAGGAATATTTAAAAACATTTTAATGTTATTTTAAAGCAACACAACAATGAGAGATTAATGGAAGATTAATAAAAATAGAAGATATTTAATGGGGCTAAATGGACTTCACAAATGTTGTTTATCTTGTTAGCAAAAAATCAAAAACATTCTTGTGCTTAATGAGGAAGAGGTGATTCCCCTGTTACTTATATTTTATTTGTGCTATTTACTCACAATCCAAAAAAAATCTTTTGCAGCACGACATATTTTTGTTACATAATGATAAGGATATTTTATTTTTTAATAATTCTATTAGATTTGACATAATTATTCTTTATTAGATTGAGCACAATGCTGTCATTTATCAGTTTGTTGAACTACTATCTTAGATGGTAATGTCTTCAGTAATTTGAATCCCTCCCCCCCTC